AGGAGTTTGTGTTTTTCTAAAACTTATAATATGAAGAGTGGTGGGGTGTATGGTGTGTGTATAGATATACTAGGGTTAAGTATTAAGTTGGATGACCTTTTTTGTCTTTTTACACAATAATAAAACTTAAGAGCTTAATTATTTAAGTATTGGAGTGAACAAAGAAAAGTATGGAGTTTAAATAAAAAAACCTCTTTTCTTTTTCGATTATCTCTCCTTTTTAATTTGATTTCATGTCTATTTCCCAACTTCATAACCCATCTCCCTGTGCAGCTCTGTTCCTTCCGCAACTCACTTTGTACATAATATGCTTGGAAAATATCTTATTGCACTAATTAAGATAACTATAGTGAGAATCTCCCTTTACATATTCAATGAAATCCAATAGGAGCTTTCCTTTTTCTTTCTTTTTTCTTTCAACAAAGTAGTTTTATATTGATTTCTTCTTCTGTAATGGGGCGGGTCGAGGAACCCATTCCCAACGAAGGTGGGGATGGGGAATCCCTGATATGAATATTGTGGGTATGAAGGCGGGGATGGGGAAAAAAGCTTAACGGGGATGGGAATGACATACCCACCCCAGATTCGACCGATTCCATCCATACCCAAGCAGATATAGATGATTTATTCATCAACCTCACACCCCACACTTACTTTTTGCGTTTCATTTTCTTCTCTCGCATATTATTATGTGTTATGGTAATATCATGTGGCATATGTTATGTGTCGCTATAAGTTCACTCAAATTATAACATTTGTAATATTATAAACTCTAAAATTATATGTGTGTTATAATATAGGTTTATAAGAAAATCTGTTACCATTGAATTTGGTTTTTCTGAATCAGAAATGTTTTAGACGTTTGTATGTTCACTGTGATAATCATAGAACTCAGCTGAACAAATGCTTTCCTGGGCAGTGTTCGAAAAATCGGCCTAGGCGGCTAGGCGGCCGCCTAGGCGGTCGTGTCCTTTTTTTAATTTTTTATTATATATAAATAGATTGTTTTTCCTGACTTTAAACTTTTATTTGGCATTGAGCAATAAAATTGTACTCTTAGAATTAAACAACAAAATAGTTAAGGGTCAAAAAGTGTTTCCTTTACTCGTTTCTCAATTCTTTGCAACTAAAGAGACTATACCCTGTTATACTGAAAAGGTTGCATTTTTACATTCCTGCTGGGCCAGCAATTGAATTCGGAGACCTTGGTTCCTCTGAAATGAGTTCTCCTTGTTCATTAATCTTTGTTTAATTCTATCTGGTCTGAATATTCTTAGAATTTGAAGTCAACCATCTAAAAAATAAAAAGTTTATGGGAACTTCTGTCTTTTTGGCCTGAAATTCCTAGGAATTGAAAACACATTTCGTTGGCTTAACATATTGCTTCAGTTAGCATTTTGCAGTTGTTGAGTAGCAGTCAGGAGGTTCACTCATTTGAGTTTTCTCTCATATAATATCACAAAAATGCAGGTATTCCTGATCCGAGAAGGGAACCTGTTGAAAATCCTTTGTTGAAAATCCTGAAGCTTATTGCTTAATTAAAGAGAAGATCACTCAAGCTCTGAGACAGCTCAAGGAATTGACTGACCAACATGTTCTAGCTCAGTTTTGGGCACTGGTGAAGAATGGGGGTCGGTATGTGCTCTCAACTTCAGGGCAACCCTTTGTTCTTGATCCTCATACTAATGGACTTCATCAGTATAGGATGGCTTCTGAGGTTGATAAAGTTTGATAAAGTTTGCAAAGCACTTGAGGTTGGTTTATTATTTTATTTTCTGAGCATATATTAGTATTACATATTGTGTCATGCTCTTATTTAAACAAGCTTAGTGTACTTATTTTTTAAATAGAAAATTTGGCTCAAGTCCAATTATGATGAGAGATTTTGGGTGCAATCCACGCAGAAATTGTTGTTGATCCAAGTCCTTTGACTTTTGCGCCACATAAGATTACATGCCTATTT